CTGTTCAGGCAACATCTCAACATCTGTGCAGGCTTGGAGGCCCTCTGTGCAGGTTAGGAGGCCCTGTAAAAGTGGTCATCTCTGTGAGTATAAGAGACCTCCAAGTTATGAAAAGCTTTACCAATCTTCTAACAAAGAAGTCTTCTCAGCTAGTCTTCTAAGAAATAACTAAGTGGGTAGGTTAAAAAAAACTCATCGGATTTCGGCCACTTTATTTTCAGGAGGCCCCCTTTTCAGCTTTTTAACTTTTTAACTTTTTATTTTATTTTTGAAAAAAATCGGCCAAGGGGGGGGCCATGGCCCCCATGCCCCCCCCCTTGTATCCGCGCCTGCCACTGTGAGTGGTGAGAGGAAAATTACGAATAAGCCGCAGCCGACACAATAACCTTTGGTGAACTCGGTTCACTTTTTCGAGTTCTACATGTTTCGAGGCTAGTTTTTGGAGCTGGATTCGAATTTAGCAACTATTTGAACATTTACGAAGCAGTTTTGGTAATTTTATAACACGTTACGAAGCTGTAGGAGGCTGTAAGAGCTGTAAGACACGTACGACAAATACTCGTCACAACCCCTACTGGTTGACCTGACTTGACCTAAACCGACCTGGTCTAAATGCTTCAAGACATCATCTGTGATAAAAACTAACACGATATTCGTGATCCGAAAAACCCCCGAAAATATTCGTTACATGTTTTCGTATTTCGTACTTGAATTAAGTGATCGACACGCCTTGCTCGTGTTATATCATTCATCTGTCATTCATTCACATTCATTCTCGTCTCGTCGTTTCCTGATCGCTTCATGCGTCAGTTCCTTTAGTCATCTATCTCAATAATTTCCAGCATAATATAAATACCTATCAGTCGTTAATCGTTTCGTCTAACGTTTGGTCCTCCGGTTCATCGTCGTTCGCCGTAACACGTGTTATAATTGCAGATTCGTGTATATTGGTGGCGCTTGATACGGGCTACGGGGCTGGGCATAGCAGCATTAGAAGTTAATTGGCTTAAAAACGTTCCATTGCGTGTCCGACAACCAAAGAGTCATGGGCAGTTGGCACTGGGCAGCAGCTGGGGCTGCGACCACAATGTGAATAAAACTTTTGGTCGGCGACCACCAAACACTTTTTTTGAGCCCTGGCAAAAGTAAATCAAATATGTTCAGGTTAAGTGATTATGCATTAGATACATAACCACTTAACCTTAACCCGCGCGCCGCTGGGGGGGGGGGGGGGGCAGAATCTGCCCCCCTCCCGTTTTTCGCCAATAACGTCTAAACGCGTTACGCCAGCGACGTCAAACTTTCAGTACCTTACCGCCTCTTACAGCTTCGTAACGTGTTATGAAATTACCAAAACTGCTTCGTAAATGTTCAAATAGTTGCTAAATTCGAATCCAGCTCCAAAAACTAGCCTCGAAACATGTAAAACTCGAAAAAGTGAACCGAGTTCACCAAGGGTTATTGACCTGACCTGACCTTCAGGTGACCTTGACATTCATTCGGTGTGAGCGCCCATGGCTCAGGCAGGGGCGTCTTCAGCAGCAAAAAGATGGACATTTTCAACAACAGAAATGCGGTGCAGATCCAGGGCTCAAAAAAGGTGTTTGGTGGTCGCCGACCAAAAGTTTTATTCATATTGTGGTCGCAGCTCCAGCTGCCCAGTGCCAACTGCCCATGACTCTTTGGTTGTCGGACACGCAATGGAACGTTTTTAAGCCAATTAACTTCTAATGCTGCTATGCCCAGCCCCGTAGCCCGTATCAAGCGCCACCAATATACACGAATCTGCAATTATAACACGTGTTACGGCGAACGACGATGAACCGGAGGACCAAACGTTAGACGAAACGATTAACGACTGATAGGTATTTATATATGCTGGAAATTATTGAGATAGATGACTAAAGGAACTGACGCATGAAGCGAGCAGGAAACGAAGAGACGAGAATGAATGTGAATGAATGACAGATGAATGATATAACACGAGCAAGGCGAGTCGATCACTTAATTCAAGTACGAAATACGAAAACATGTAACGAATATTTTCGAAGCACACAAGTTCACCACCTCGTTTTCCAAAAATACACAAAAATACATCAAATTTCATAATCTCGTGATAATGTCACACGCGCGACGTAACAAGGTGATCCGCTGCGCGGCGGCAACAACACGGATTAAAAGCAGTGGTTTGATCGCTAACGCTGCGTTCGGGACAGCCCAGTTTCCACGTGAAGTTTCTACGCCGATGAGCTCCTCACGGAAACGATCGCCTTTCGGCCGTTTGGCGATAGCGTTTCGCACAGACCGAACGCGTTTGCGTGAATAATTCCTCAGCGTGCAAGTTCCACGCAGTAACCGGGCTGTCCGAACGCAGCCTTAATACACCATAACAAACAAGAGTGAAATTTTGCGCCCGAATACCTATCCCTACCCCTCCCCTGGCTGACCCGACGGACGCCACCCCTCCCCCTCGGCGTCCCTTCCCCCACGGCGGCAGTCAGCTGGCGGCCGTCCGGCCGTCCCTGGGCCGGCCGGCCGGTGGGTGAGCGTCCCGTCCCGGATACGCCACGCCGCGTACATACCTACTGCGTAGTAGGAGACCATCCTGGGCGACCAATGAATGGCGCTCGTCGGCGATTTTGACAACCACTCTTCCCCATTGGTTTAACATGGGTGGTCGCACAGAAAACGCCGACGAGCGCCGATGGGGAAACGTGGAAGTGTAGGAGGGCTCCTTCTCCTGTGCCGCCACCTATTGCTCGGGCGGCTATATGTTGGCAATGAATGAACTGCCGCCAATGAATGGACTGCCGCTCCAAGACCGACTGAGTCAGAGTCGGAAGTGGAACTCTGCCGCTGCGAGCGCCCGCGGCTACAGCTCACGCGCCGTGGGCTATTTGCCGTGCTCTGCGGCGACGGCTGTGGCAGTGATGGCGGCTGCTGATTGGCTGGCGCTGCGACGCCAGGGCAGCCGCCGATTGGGTTTTCTCCTGGAACCTTCTCGGACGAAAGGTCGTCTGAAGGTCATTGTCATTGACGGGGGGATTCGGTCTGGAGCGGGGGGCTACGCTTGGAATTGGGACTTGAACTGAACTTTGACTTTGACTTGGTTTTGAACTGGTCTTGCTTTAAGTCTATCACGGCCATGTCTACATTTGGTGGCAGCGGGTTACGAGCTTCGCTCTTTTAAGCCGTAACGATGACCTGATTTGGATATTATGCCTACCGGCTACCAAGAAATGAAGATGGTCTCGGCTGACCTCGGTGTTCTGCCTCGGCCGACCTCGCGAGTGCGACCAGTGAACTCGGAACTGTGAGTTTTCGTGTTTGGTCCCGCCTGGGCCATGATTTTGTGCCTGAGTCGAGGCTGTCAGTGACTTGTGCCGCCCAGAACTATGGTGAAGCAGTGCAGTCTGGTGTCTCAGTGCGCAGCCTCTGCCGCTGTTTGTTGGAGCGGCTCGTCGGTCAGCTCCGCTGGCTCGACGAGAAGTGAGCGGCTGTTCCGTTAGCCATGCGCTGGCTCGACGAGTTAAACTGTTAAGTGAGTGGCCAGCTGGTCCTCTTCAGTCTTCGGTGTTAGCGGGCAGTGGCTGGCTTGATCTGTTGCCGCCCACCTGCTGTCGCAGACGCTGCAGATTCAAGATTTCAAGCTCTTCGTTCGTCGCCGCTGTCAGTCGTGGCGACCCGTGGCGACTGAAGTGACCGTTTGAAGTTCGGTCGTCGCCGCCGTCCATCGTGGCGGTCCTTGCGATTGCGATGGTCGCTTCCGAGTGCGTCCGCCGTTGTCATCGCTCGTGGCGACTGCCGTCGCAGGCTTCATCGCCGTCTTCGTCGTCTTCAAGTTGCAGCCGCCGCTCCTCGGCCGCCGGCTTCGGCCGAGAGCTGCTGTGACGTCAGCAGTCACGTGACGCTGCTCGTCGCTCGGCCGGCTGCGCGTCAGCTGATCGCCGCGGCCGCTTCTGCCGGTTGCCTGAGGGCCTGACGGTCTGCTGGATGATCCGACGGCGATGAGGATCTTAATCATCAGACAGCAATAAGATAAGTGGACCGATTGTTTGTGTTATGGGTGTACCGTTAGACCTGTCCAAAAAAAACCAACTTTTCGATGGACAAGCTCCCCTGGTGTTTTCCCATTGATAGATGGCCCAATAGCTAGCACACCGAATTTCAGCCCTCTAGCTAAACCCTCGACCCTAGCGCAAGAGCGTCAAAGTTTTCCGGTGCGAAGTGCACAGAGAAGGTCATTCTCCGGTGTGAGTCCTGCAGTTGTCGTGTCAGCAGCACTACGCATAAATGTAAAATAATGTGTGGTGAGATCCGTGTCATGGTCTGCGCCCCCCCCCCCCCACCTATATCCCCGCGCCGCCCCTGTGCCGCCTTCGCCATATTACCGGAGGGGTTGGGTCACGTGACCACGCTGACCTGGGAGCCGCGACCGGTCGGCGCGGTCACTTGTCCCCCGGTCACCGACCGCACCGCAGCGCCACGTCCACCGACTCTACTGCACCGCTACCAGCTACGTAACTGAGGTTAGTGTGTTTGTTTAATGTTGCCTCGTCAGCATAAAATATGCACCAAAAACGATAAAAGCACTAATTTGTTTTGTCGCATGAATAGTGGACATTTTCAGTGTTTCATTTCCACATCTCACTTTTAAATGTGGGCTGCTTTCTGTTTTGTGCTATGCTGGGTTCCCATGAAAATATTCACACAAAACAGCTGCAATAACCCAGCAGCTAATATAGATAATTTAATTGATGGTCGCTTTCAAATTAAATCGTGCTCATTTTTGGTAGATACATTTCGGATTAATTTGTATACCGGTAATAGAAATGGACCCATCTTATTTCTCTCGCTTTCAGACTGTTCCTGGCCACTCGTTCGTGCCATGCCGACCACTCGAGGCGGCAGAGGAAGACGATTTGAAGCAACAAGCGACAAAGGTGCTGACAGTGCTGGCCTGCATCCGTGGGAAGAAGCAGTTGCGTGCGGACTATGTAAGGGCAAAATTGAGCGCGTCAGAGAGTGTGTGGAGCGGCGGGCCGGAGAACCAGAGTGTGCGTTAGGCCAGTCCGCCGTATGTTTGCCTCCGGCGGGAAAGGCGTGCCCGCCGGGTGAAAGGCAGCGGCTGGCCGGCACCTGGGACTCGCGGGCCCGTCTCTCGAGGCATTTGCCAGTGCGGTGTCGTCGGGGCAACATCTTTCGGTAAGCGAACTTTTCCCTCCCCCCTAAATTAACGCCGCAGCGCCCAGGCGCTGCGGAAGTCCCCGACAAATGTCCTGGATTTCATTTGGCTTTCCGACCCGCCGCAAATAGCGGTGGGCACTCCCGTTTTATATCCAGGACAGTCCCATCTAAATTATAATTAATCGGCGCGGCGCGTGGCGTATATGAGTGAGCGATTGTAAGTGTGATGTGTATAGTGTGCGTGAGGAAAATGATCCGAGAGAATGACACTTCGTCCCGCGAGACCCAAAATACAATGTAATGGGAATGTGAGCCAAATCTTTGAATTGGGTAAAGGCAGATGCCGGGCTGATACACGGTGAACGTGAACGAACAATCACACGGGCCGCTTAGTTTAATACACCCGGGTGGTAGGCGGGCATTGTAGAGTAACTTTGATTAACGTAATGTCTGTACATGGGGGGAACCATTAAAAGGTTGCCGGTTCCGATGCTTGAAACCCCTACATAAAAATGGTGCATCGGCCGGGAAATCTTTCCCATCGGAGGTCAGGATGCCCGAAGTGTTCCTTCCGCCATAATCTGCGGCACGCGACAAGTGTAGTATTCCGCTCCCCGGCACCAGGGCACATTGGTACCCGGGCGTATTTGCCGCTTCCGGGCACGCGGCCCACTGGCCCGTGCTGGCGCAACGGAAGGCCAGCGCTACCCGGGATAAAACGCCGATCGGTCCTGATAATGCCGTGAGGGAGGCCCGGACGGAGCCCGGGTGTCGCAGAGGCGGGGTCAAAGGACATGACGTGGGCGCCGTTCGGCCATTTCCGCTCCCTTGGAGGTGGTTACCGGTCGAGCTGTTCTTACTTTTGGCTTCAATATCTTGTGTAAATCATTGCTTCCGTACTTTTCGTCACGTTCACACGCGTGAATCAGTCCAATTAAGGGGGGCATGGGGGGACAATTTGCCACCGCAATAATGAGAGATGAGAGATGAGGGCAGTCGGTTCGCGCGAGACCGTCGGAGATCGGGGATGAGATCGACGGCGTTCGGCGGTGCGGAAGAGTTCGCTCGGGCGGAATGGAATCCGCTTGTACGCGAGATGAGTGCTCGCGTCGTCGTCGGTCGCATGCGAGCGTGCAGGTTCGCTCGTTCGGCGGAATCATGAGTCCGGTGACGAGCCGTCACCGCTGGTGTGATGGCAACGTGGAGGTCGTCACCGGTGAGTACCGAGGGCCGCGAAATACCCCGGTATTTCAGTGTTACATGTGTGGGCGTATGATTGGATCGTTTAATGTACAGGTATGTTACGGTTGGTGTGATTGAGTTAGTGCGAACAAGGTCATGTGTGGTCACGAAAAGATGCGGAAAATGGAATTTTACTTATTTGTCATCAATTTGCTTTCATGATTAGTAATCAATTTGCTTTCATGATTAGTAATCAATTTGCTTTCATTCATACACCTGATTTAAATATGTAGCAAATTGCTTGTGTCGTCTGCCATTCACGCCTCATAATGAGACCATAGAGGCTTTAGACATTTCCTTCGATTGCCTGAACAATCGTTTAGACCATAGTGCATTATATCTATAGTCTTAAGTGCAGTGCATCTTTGCTGTGCATATTAATCGTAACTTAAGATGATAACCGGAATGTCCATGGCTTTACAGATTTCATGGGCAATATCGGGGCAATGGAATTGGATCGGGGAAGTTACGATTGGGTGTTTTCAGGCGGAGTTTTTAAGCGGGGATGACGATCCCTCCCGTAAAGCCGTGCACTCAGTGCACCTTGTGGCGCTGACGAGTTGCCATTAGGACGGCATCGAGGTTGTGCGTGCTTAAAGCGGGCAAGCTTAGCTCGGCAGCAAAGCCCTGATTAATTATTACCCCACGTTACACCAAGATGAGCCGCACATTCTGGCAGCTGCACCTTTTATATCCGGAACCCGATGTCAAGGTCTGGCGCAAGGCGGTGCACGCCGAGCACATTCTCCTCTTTTTTAATCCAGGGAATGGATTAACGCTTACGGTTCATTGCAATTTCTTCTGATGCAAACGTAAAATGTCTTGTCAAATCTTCAATGTTATGTTCAAAGTAGTTCATTCGTTCGTTCATTCCATGCATTTTTGCGTTGTAATTTTGCTCAAAATGTGGTAGCGATGACTCAACTAAGTTCAGTCACGAACCAGAAACAAGTTCTAAACAGCTTTGATTCCAGGTTTAATGGCAACATTTATTAACCAGAAATTCTTCAAGTGGAGCGCTGAGTGTTCAGTCAAATGTGCCCTTATTTAAATTCCATGCTGCATAAGTTCGTATCTTCGTTATATAGAATTACAGTTTATGATTAAATGCATTGAGTAATATCGGATGAACCCAGTGCCCCTCAACCATTTCATGGTAACTCAGTAGGACGGTATCTCTTGGACCATTTTCGGCTTCGAATTGACAGATAATCCGGAATTAATCTTGTAGGATTTTCAATCCTCTCTAAAGTGTTGCCAGGCACTAATCGTCACCTTGCCGTCAAATGGAGCCTAAATCATTTCGTAAAGTAGGAAATTTAATTTGTTCTGTATAGAAGAGCAAAACATGTGTTTATTGGACTTTAAAATGCACACTCGAGGCAAATACATTTGAATCCACGTGGCGCGGATTCTATCCGTCGCGACCGCACACGTCATATTCGAGCCTCCAACCGAAGATGACGCGGCGGGAGGTGACACAAAGCCCTAGTTGTTGAGCCGACTCCGTTCGGGACTGCGCTCCAGCAAATTCAGCAGCACGGGCCCATCCAGTGACTTTCCTGGACGGTTATGGTCTTGGCGCTGCCGTGCGCTGCCACACCAGTAACGGGTGATTTCATATGATGTATAATATAGCATGTGCCACATTGTCAGTTCTCGCGTGTTGTACAATGCATGTTGTTGTGCAGTACGGGTTAATTTACTGTGAAGCACGTGTTGTATTTCATATCATATCCTATTCCTGAGCGGTGTGTGGGTGCCCGGCTTAGGCTTCACCATCATTGGCCCGAGGGCAAATCGGATCCGCCAGCTTGCCGATATCCACCTGCTCAAGCAGACGGGTTGGATCCGACCCCTGTGCTCCCACACCACGCGCACCTGTCAGCGCCGGGCCAGCGCCGCCGACCCGAGCAATTATGGTTCGGTCACCGCGCCGCCCGCGCAAGGGGTGGCAGGTCCGCGGCAGGGCCCTCCCCGACCGTCCCAGAGAAGGGACGCATTCCCATCGTGATGGGATCGCGCCGCCGGCCATGGGATCGAGCCGGTCGCCACGGGTAGGCCACCCACCCGACCGAAGGCGAGAGCCGCCACATGCACGGCCGATCCCAAACGCCTCGGGGCGGGACAACCCGCGCCCCGCAGAGCGAAGGTCCGCCAAGGAGCAGCGGCGAACCGGGCCGATCCGCAATAACAACACCGGAGTCATTGGACTCGCCCGTCGCTGGCCGCCTGCTGCCGAGCACACCCCAGACGACGGTGGCTTTGTGTTGCCGATTGATTCAAAACCAATGCGGTCATTTTGATGTCTGAGCGCTCTTTGATATTGACAAGTACATCATCTTGCGTCTTTACTCCACAACATCTATAATTTTGGAAGATAAAGTTGTCGTTCCGAAACGGACCAACGAGACAATTAACCCCATAATCACTCAGTACGGCACCGAAACCTTCTGATTAATCGATATACGGCGCAATGGCCGCCATCATTCCTTCTGGAAAGATTATTGCGATAAAAAGCGCCTCATACAGCACAAATCAACGTATTAGAGAGGGACCTTGATTATCCAAAATTGTTCGCTTCTAGGTTTTCATTCAATATCCCGACCATATTGGTAGGCAGAATGAGCGGTACGCCAAATAGGCATGCAGTTTTGGGAAATTCGTGTCCGGTATATATGTTTATTTATTTATCTGTTTCACTTCGAGACAAATCCATCCATACGAGAATGATTCGCATATCTTTAACAGTACTGCGCATGCCGTCTTAATAAGTTTCGGACGTCGTAATGTATAGTTTTAACGGGTTATATCAGTGAACTTATTTGTTTTAACGGCAGCATCAGAGCTGAGGCAAAAGAACTCAGTGCGGTACAATTAGTGTATCGTCTGCCAATCAAAATTTAGCATCAGCAGTTCTGGTGATGTTTCAGGAGAACGGTCATTAGTGTTCTCATTTACCCAGCATGAATTCCTTCGGAATGACTCCAGGCCCGAGCGCAGTCACCTCGGTGTGGCGTCTCCGTCATGGAAAGGCTCAACAGCCCCCGCACCCGCACCACAGGTGTCGCCGTCCTCAGTCGGTCGGCAGGATGGGCAGGCGTGCCGCGCCTCGGGCGGCGTCGCTGCGCCGTTCCCCATCACGCGGTGACTAGCCGAGTGAAGTGCGTGCCGCGCGGCGCCGCACTGTGCGTAATCACGGCCGGACCCTCCCCACCGCCACCGGTACCTGATCCGACTGGACTGGCCCCTGGGCCGATTGGACCGGATACCTGGGTCGGTCGGACCGTCAAATGGGCCGACTGGACCGCGTACCTGAGCCGCTGAGCGAGGGGCGCAGGGTGCCATCACCGGGAGGGTGGGAGTTCGGCCGGGTTACTGACCCTCCTGGCCCACCACCATCAAAACAAGTCGACCCTCCGCCGTTCGGCTCACCAGCCGGTAGAGGGGAGAATTGGGGCCTGCTACGGGGAGACAGCCGGTTCGACCTGGATTGAGTATATGTAGATTGAGTTTGTGAACTTGTGGAGCGCTCAGCGTAGCCATTCGACCTTTATCGCTGACTACCGCGCCCCGCAGACTGCAAGGAGATGACAGCCCAGGAATTTAACTATGAGGGAGAGAGCCCAAAGCAATTTTACCTTTAATATCACACAAATTCGCTGGAGGTGCGTAGCGCCCCGTAAAAGTAACTTTCCCAATTTCAATTAACCCGATCTTCTCATGCACCGGCACGAGTATAGCTGTAGTCACCGCGCAGCCCTGGGGTCCGGGCGGGTCCCTGAATCTCCCCAAGCGCCAAACAGCCCTCCCCTCCGCCGTTCGGCTGATCTAATCACCCGTCGGAGGGGCGGCCTCTGAGGCGCTGGGAGCGAGAGAGGCACCTCGCCCCTGATCGTTGAGGCAGCGTGGGAGTGCTGCCTTTGGTTATCCTCCCCCGAGGGGAGGATGGCGCAATGGTACCTGACCACCGAGAAATGAATGTTGGATTGATCAGCCGAGTGTGGATGAATGAGTGTTGAAGTAGTGTTTTTGTTATGTGTTCAAACTTCATATGCACATGTAGTTATTAGTATGCGCCGCGCGCCGCGAAAGAGAAAGAGAAAGAGAGGGTCGCACGAGAGAGTCGTGCGAGAGAGCCGCGCGAGACAGAGAGTCGCGCGCGCGAGAGAGAGAGAGAGAGTCGCACGAGAGAGTCGTGCGAGAGAGTCGCGCGAGACAGAGAGTCGCGCGAGATAGAGTCGCACGAGAGAGTCGTGCGAGAGAGTCGCGCGAGACAGAGAGTCGCGCGAGACAGAGTCGCGCGAGAAAGAGAGAGAGAGAGAGAGTCGCACGAGAGAGTCGTGCGAGAGAGTCGCGCGAGAAAGAGAGAGAGAGAGAGTCGCACGAGAGAGTCGTGCGAGACAGAGAGTCGCGCGAGACAGAGTCGCGCGAGAAAGAGAGAGAGAGAGAGAGAGAGAGTCGTGCGATGAAGCGCCCGAGAGCGCCGGTCGGCACGCGAGGGGTGGACCGCCGCCGCGCCGTGGGTCGTGGGGAGGGACGGGGCTGGGGGAGGGCAAGGCAGGGGTTTGATTGTGTTTGTCCGGGCACTGGGGAGGGATGGGTCTCGGGCTGGGGAGGGAATGTGTTTGCGCGGGTGTGGGACGGGGACAATGACCGGGGTTTGGGAGTATGACCGGGGGAGGGGAGTTTAAATGACGAGGGAGAAAGACGACGGACGATGCGGCGGAGGAAAGGAGACGTGACGGAATAAGGGAGCGATCAGATGACAACAAACGACTGAGCGAGCGAGCGCATGGAAATGTTGGCCCCGAACACATGACCGAGCAAGTGCCAGTCAGGCGCGGAATACCCTATCCGCTGAACATCAAGGTCCGAAGATCACGACGCATTTGCTCAAATCACGTGTTCGCGGCCAATTACTGAGGTATGTTTGGGGCGCACGCGGGAAAAGGGTAATGGACTTGGTGAGGAGGAGGGATGACGGATTGTGAGTGAAAGAGCAGGGTCTGAGACTGATATTGAGACTGAGACAGAGACAGAGACGGAGACAAAGACAGAGACAGAGACGAAGGCTGAGCAGAGAGAGTGAGAGAGAGAGAGAGTAAGCGATAGAGAATAGAGAGACAGAGAGAGAGAGAGAGAGAGAGAGGGGAGAGAGAGAGAGAGAGAGAGAGAGAGAGAGAGAGAGAGAGAGAGAGAGAGAGAGAGAGAGAGAGAGAGAGAGAGAAACAGACGAATGAGAGCGGAGAATGCATGGATGTGTGAGACCACCAGCTAACGTGAGTGGTGGATGTCGGCCCGGCTTTGGGTTAGGCATGCAGTGTTACAACTGTGGTTAGACTAGTTTCTACATGGTGGCGGACTGGTTCGAGGTTTCGCTGTCATTAATAAAAATCCACATTCCCATTCAAAATTATCGAACGGTCACAAACTTTTCCCCATAGTAAATGCTGTAACAGATGAAGCGTAATAAGGTAACTACATTTAGTCAGATTTCATGCGAACCGAGGCTGAGAGTGTTAATGATTCAGTAAAATGTATGCCGCAGAGTGTCGCGATGTGTGTATGTGTGTTATGTACGGGCCAGAATGATTGAGGGGAGGGAAAGCCCCTGCTCTCCCACAGGCATGTCGCCCGGTCCGCCGGCCGCCGACCAGGAGCCAGCGGCGACCAAGACCTCGGCCGTACGGGCCGGGCGACGGCGGTGATCCGTTCTCCAACTCGCCGCACCGTACGCCAGCCGCCCCGCCGCTCCCGGCGGCGACTACTGCCGCAGCAAGTCGGGGGCGGTGGGCGCGCGGCCGCCGACCCCGCCGCTCCAGCCGTCTGCCCGGCTGCCCGGAAGCCGCGGCGCCCAAGAGCCGCGGTGGTACGGGCGGCTGCGCTCGGCTGCCGACCCCGCCGCTCCAGCCGTCTGCGCGGCTGCCCGGAAGCCGCGGCACTCAAGAGCCGCGGCGGTACGGGCGGCTGCGCTCGGCTGCTGACCTCGCCGTTCCGGCCGTTCATCTCGCCTCCCGGTCCGCCGCAGCATTCAAGAGCCGCGGCGGGAGGGACGACGCTCTACCGCCCATCTCGCTGCCCAAAATGCCCGCTGCCCCGCGCCGATCCCGCGGCTACTACTGCCGCGCCAGCTCGGGGCGGCGGCACTCGCCCACGGACCTCCGCCCGCCCGCCTCCAGCGACGATAACGCCCGCGGCAGGACGGGAGCGGCGGCGCTCATACGGCCATCGGGCCGCGCTATCCGCCAGCCGTCCCGTCCAGCCCCGGCAGTACGGCGGGCGGCAGAGCTCGGCCCGTCTCACCACCGCGCCGGTCAGCAGCCTGCGGCCGCCCCACTGGAAACCGCGGTGCCAATGGCCGCGGCGGTACAGTGTGTGACGGCGGCCGGGCCGGCCGACCTGACGGCCCCGCCGGCTCTGCACGGACTGGGATACAGCCGAACCACCTGTCGACAGCCGCCCGATCCAGAACCAGCGGCCCGAGTATCCGCGGCAGCATATGGTCGGGCGGCAGCTTCAGGTGCCGGCCGTGCAGAGGCGCCACATGACAGCTCCCGGGGGTCGACGCCCTCCACCGGTGGCGTACCCAGCTGGCGGCAGCGTGACAGGCGGCGGGCAAGGCGCACCACCCGCGCACATGAGCCGCCGCCGTCGCCGCCGCCACCGCCACCTGGTGGTTGATCGACGCCCTATACCGGTGGCGCACCAAGCTGGCGGCAGCGTGACTGGCGGCGGGCACGGCGCACCACCCGCACCCATGAACCGCCGCCGTCGCCGCCGCCACCGCCACCTGGTGGCGCGACCCCGGGACGCCTAGCGGGAGCCGTCCATCTCTGAGGCGGGTCGGGCCGGAGGAGACACCCTCGACAGCTGGCCATAAAGCTGGAAACGGTCGACTAACACCTGGCAGCATGCGAACACGCTCCATACCACCAGTGGGGGGCACCGACTGCCGCCCGAGAAGCCCCGGACTGCGGCGGTGGCGCTGAGATAGAGTGCGGTCGCCCAGGGAGGCGGCCGCCCACCAAGGTGTCCACCGTCCGCGAACACCGGCCTTGGGCGGTAGCGTGCGCTACCGGCTGAGTATCGCGCGCGTGTGCTACCAGTCCAGGCGACCTCCAACCAAGGACCAGTTCATGGCGAGGGGTCGAGGGCCAGAAGAGCGAGGCGATACGAGCGAGCGTGGGAAGGAAGAGCTGGCAACGGATCGGTGCTGCGAAAAATGCGAGCAGCAGGAGAAGGGCTTGGCAGGAGGGTGGCAGGCGGAATAAACAATGGGGCGATGAGCGGGAGCGTGGGCAGGGCGGCCGTGCATGTAAGGCGTGGGGCGGGTGTCTGTGGAATGTATGTAGGATGTCTGTAGTTGTAGAATGTATGTAGGATGTCTGTAGTTGTAGAATGTATGTAGGATGTCTGTAGAATGTATGTCGCATGTGTTGTGTAGCCTGTAGGTATAATGATTGTCAAGCGCGAATGAGATAGTGGAAAGGTTCTCACCCGGGGGAGTAAGGGGACCCTTTTTCACCGTCCGTGGGAGGGAGAATTATTATGTAAGGGCAAAATTGAGCGCGTCAGAGAGTGTGTGGAGCGGCGGGCCGGAGAACCAGAGTGTGCGTTAGGCCAGTCCGCCGTATGTTTGCCTCCGGCGGGAAAGGCGTGCCCGCCGGGTGAAAGGCAGCGGCTGGCCGGCACCTGGGACTCGCGGGCCCGTCTCTCGAGGCATTTGCCAGTGCGGTGTCGTCGGGGCAACATCTTTCGGTAAGCGAACTTTTCCCTCCCCCCTAAATTAACGCCGCAGCGCCCAGGCGCTGCGGAAGTCCCCGACAAATGTCCTGGATTTCATTTGGCTTTCCGACCCGCCGCAAATAGCGGTGGGCACTCCCGTTTTATATCCAGGACAGTCCCATCTAAATTATAATTAATCGGCGCGGCGCGTGGCGTATATGAGTGAGCGATTGTAAGTGTGATGTGTATAGTGTGCGTGAGGAAAATGATCCGAGAGAATGACACTTCGTCCCGCGAGACCCAAAATACAATGTAATGGGAATGTGAGCCAAATCTTTGAATTGGGTAAAGGCAGATGCCGGGCTGATACACGGTGAACGTGAACGAACAATCACACGGGCCGCTTAGTTTAATACACCCGGGTGGTAGGCGGGCATTGTAGAGTAACTTTGATTAACGTAATGTCTGTACATGGGGGGAACCATTAAAAGGTTGCCGGTTCCGATGCTTGAAACCCCTACAACTACGAAGAGTCTGCGTCCCTTGCAGTTATAGCTCTGGGCGGTGACTCGACAGAGGCAAACGGCGCTGCATCTGTGCGCTTCAAGAAACCGGGTGCCTGCCACAAGGCGCGCTGGATGGCCCACGTCATCTACGGGCTACGGCATCAAGATGTTCTTGTTCCGACATCAGCTACTGGAGCTGGGCATCATCTCCAAGGACATGCACGACAAGCTGCGGCGGTTCGCTGTGTTTGTCTGCCTCTTTTACGTCAAAGAGTGGCTCACCTGCACAACAGCTGCGGATGCCGCTGTCAGCGACCTCAGCAGGTACCAGGACCTCAACGTTCTCCGCAGGGTGGACCCTAAGGTAGCGGAGGCGGCAATGGAGGTGTACAGTCTGTCTTAAAAGTACCGCGCAAAGTGACGGTGGATCCATCAAGCCTGACCGACGAAGGACTGCCAAATTTGAGTCACCGAAGCAATGGACATCGTCGTCCATTCCCCAGCTCAATTGGTTCGGTAACTTTCAAATTATAGCAGGCCCTTCCTCGGTCAGGTTTGATGGATCCATCGTCACTTTGCGCGGTACTTTTGAGACAGACTGTACGGTCGCCACACCTGGTACCTCACGCAGGAGCTGTTTACCTTGGCGCTGGTCAGCTCCCTGGTGGATCCTCCAACGAAACGGCGGATGGCAGACGTCATACACGAGTATGCGACGGAGCAGGCAACCGCAACCAGAATGGGCAAGCCCGATCTCCCGACTCTGCCCACCGAGGCCGGCCAAGTGAAGGCACTGGAACTGGATGACTTCATCGGACCAGAATCCCGCAGTGTTCGGAGTCCTCGGCATCAGCGCGGGATTTCTGCGAAAGCCGCTGCCGTGGGACGGTGATCCGGACTTTGATCGCCTGGCGACATTCGTCCTGCACCTGCGGGTCACAAACGACACTGCGGAGCGCGGAGTAAAGCTCATTAGTGACTTCATCGGCCACATCACGACCTCCGACTTCGAGCTGCAGGAGCTGCTACAGGTTGTGGAGGCGCACCGTCAGCGGTACCCAGACTACAGCAAAGCCACCCTGTCAGCCGCCGTCTGAGGCCATGAGACTGTGATTCTGTGACTGATCAGTGCTGTGCGTCTTTCATTGGCTGTGATGTGACAGAAAAGATGTGATTTAGGTTGTTTATCGTCTGTTGAGAAATGCATTTGTTTTATCGTTTCATCAACATATGTCTTTCGTACCAAATACGAGCAGCAGTGGAAACCAGACGCTGTGTTTTGGTTACCTTATATCTAAAGTAGGATAAAGCTGCCTACCTCGGAAAAGTGACATAATGATTTGCCAGTTGTTACTTGTTTCGTGTTTGTCGTTTTGTTTTGTGTCATTACCATTCCTAGGTAATGTATTATTCAATACAAATCAGACGGGTTAGACCACCTGTGCCGAGTTTACGAGCGAAGATGTGTCGATGTGTCAGACAATGACACGGATCTCACCACACATTATTTTACATTTATGCGTAGTGCTGCTGACACGACAACTGCAGGACTCGCACCGGAGAATGGCCTTCTCTGTGTACTTAGCACCGGAAAACTTTGACGCTCTTGCGCTAGGGTCGAGGGTTTAGCTAGTTGGCTGAAATTCGGTGTGCTAGCTATTGGGCCATCTAGCAATGGGAAAACACCAGGGGAGCTTGTCCATCGAAAAGTTGTTTTTTTTTGGACAGGTCTAGTGTACCGTGCAGTGTATGTTTTTTTTGTGTGTGTGTAGATAGATAGTAGGGTGGTTCGAAAAAATCGATTTTTGGAAAGTGCAGCCTACAACAAGTGCAAAAGTGGCCTCATACCTTTAGAACACCACATGCAAATTTTTAGTGCGATTGGAAAAGTGTCTACATGGGCGCTTTGCTGTTGAACGAAGGTCTGCACTCACGTTTCAGGCGTTGCAGTCTCCCATAGTGGGGCGGGCCGGCGGGTTGTATCTAACACCAGGTGGTGCGGCAACTTCTGTTAAGTATGCTGGGAAACGTTTTCCGGGCCAGATTGGTGATTTATTGTTACATCACGACTAATTGGAAGCATAATCATGCATTTATGGGAATTTTTAAAGTACAATTAATTATACGTAGTAAGCTTGCATTGTTGCTATAGTAAACAGTCAATAATACCAACCTAGTGGCTTCGCTGAGGAGCCATATGCTAGCAATCCTCCTGGGGTTGCTTGGTACAAGTATATTAATGCCCCTAAACGAGTAGACCATTAAGAAATTTGATATTTTCCTCAGTTGTAAAATTCTTATGAAACTATTTATCCTTCGATAAAAGGTGTTTCCGGGAGATTTTCTCCCATTGTGCTCGCTGTTTTCATCACTCCTCGTCACACAAGGCAGCCGGCAGCCGCCCCGTGCCCTTCTCGCCGTCACATGCCCGACCTCCAGGCGGCTGCACGAGCCCGTCGTCGCCCATGTCAATACAAAATGCAAGCTCACTGCATGTGCCAGAAAAAAGGCAAGGTGCCTCCCGCTGAATGGAATTTTTTACGAGACTAAAGAGGAAAAAGACAGCAGGTGATTGGAGCAGCAGACGTGAAAGGGATACGAGCCATAGCTAGAAGGAGACGACGATCTGCAGGTCGGGACAGTCCTGCTGATGCCAGTGGTAGCACAGCACAGGAGCTGCAGGAGCACGCTGATATTAGCGTGGGTGCTGCACACCCAAGTCCTGCTGACTCTGTCAACGAGGCTGAAAATACGATATCAGGTACGACAGCGACGTCCTCCGAATCGGTGCAGAGCCGAATTGTCATATCAAACTTCAATCTCTGCTGAGGAATTCTCTACGGGCATCTCGGTTTGTGGACTACTGTGATCTGCTTGGATTGGGCCAATATGTGACGCTGCCAGTGCCGACCAGACAGGCCAATATTCTCGATTTGGTCCTGGCGAGGGGTGTAAGTGACGTGAGTGCCATCCCTCGTAAGAGCATCATAGCCTCGGATCATGACGAGCTGGTCGTCTCTCTTACCGTTAGCTCAGTGACTCGCCCGATTCGTGTGACGCGGTCCACAGCTCTGAATTACCGTCGCGCGGACTTCGATGGGCTGCGTCGGGCTCTCGGTGTGGCTCCGTGGCATATGATGGACGGGTTAGGTGTAGATGAGGCTGTGTCTATGTTTTACACCTTAGTTGACTCGGGCGTCCGTGACCACATACCAGTAGTTGTGTGTAGGAAAAAGTTTCCGCCTTGGTTTGATGCTACCGTTCGGCGTGCATTAAAAGTGAAGCAAGCTGCGTTTGAGCGGCTCAAGCGACATCCGACCGATAGGGCTATTAAAGCTGATTTTGTGGAAAAGAGAGCAGAATTCAAACGGGTGTCGGAACGCAGTTATACTGAGTATTTGAAAGGCTTAGTAGGTGAATTTCGTACCAATTCAAAGCGGTTTTGGTCATTTGTTAGATGTTTCAAACAGTCCAAGGGCCTTCCTGTGCTAGTCAGCAACGGTGCTAGGGTTTCAGACGACACTGAGAAGGCAAATTTGTTAAATCGCACGTTTGCCGCGAAATTCTCCGACCCCGATGTTACCGTTTTCCCAGAGGTGACTGCCATAGAAGGGGATCGTCTGACAGAGTTCAGGGTGTCTGAAGACAACGTGCGCATCTTGCTACGGAATTTAGTTGTGAGTAAAGCATCTGGTCCGGACGGACTGAGCGCCCGTGTACTTCGCGAATGTGCTGACGAGTTAGCCGCCCCGCTGTGCAAAATTTTTTCCATGTCCTTATCTTCCGGAATATTCCCTCAGCAGTGGGCAGAAGCAAATATTGTCCCTATCTTTAAAAAAGGAGCGCGAAATAATCCCGGTAACTATCGTTCGGTCTCACTTCTGCCCTTGTGTGCCAAAATTTTTGAAAAGCTGATCAGTGATCAACTATTCCAACACGTCGAGCCTTACCTCTCTCCCCTCCAGCATGGTTTCTTTCCTAACCGATCCTGTGCCACAAACCTTGCATCCTTCTTATCACACGCTTGGACGGCCATCTCGAACAAGTATCAGCTTGATACCGTGTACACCGATTTTTCTAGTGCCTTTCAGAGCGTAAACCACTCTTTGTTACTCTACAAGCTCGAAAAAATGTACGGGCTAAATGGAGTCGCTCTGGAATGGGTGAAGTCCTACCTTGGCAGGCGCAAACAGAGAGTGGTTTTGAATGGGAAGGTATCCGACTGGGTCCCGGCTGTGTCCGGAACCCCAGAGGGCGGCCATATTTCTCCGCTTTTGTTTTCTCTTTTTATTAACGACCTGCCCACTGTGATATCTACAAACTGTTTGCTTTTTGCTGACGACCTCAAACTTTTCAACGAGATCAGGTCAGCAGCTGATGTGCTAGCACTTCAGAGTGACTTAGATGCAGTAGCACGATGGGCGGCTGACTGGAAACTGGTACTTAATGCTTCAAAATGTAAATCTTTCAAAATCACATTGAAACGAAACTTTATTAACTCTTCCTACAAAATCAATGGAATTACCTTAGAAAACGTCACATCCATTCGGGATTTAGGAGTTATTCTTGACCAAAAGCTGGACTTTGCTGAACATGTGGGTTCAATTGTCTCGAAAGCCAATAGGGCTTTAGGACTTTCGCACTTTCCAGTCAGCCTCCCCCCGGTGCAAGATAGACAAGCAGGCGGCGTTGGCGGCTTACAATGCAAACGTCCGATCGATTCTTGAATACTGTTCAATCATATGGGGCGGTGCAGCCAGATGCCATCTAGTTCGTGTGGAGAGAGTGCAACATAAGTTTTTAATGTGGCTTGCGCGTCGTACGGGCTATGTCGGAGCCTCTCTCGCCTACTGTGATCTACTGGCATCGTACGGTGTGCTCCACTTGGGTGCTCGGCGAGCACAGCATGATGTCATGTTTTTATCCAAAGTGTTTAAAGATTTCATCTCTTCGTCGTTTTTATTACAGTGTTTTGGGTTACAGGTACCGATCAGACAAGCCAGAACCATGAACAGA